TTGTGAAGCTTCTTCAGTAGCTATTCAAATCTAACATAATAACACAGTCTTCTCCAACTTTTTCTTGTACAGCTTTAGAGTTTCTATGACAAAAACATTTTTTTAAAAAATATTGTATATCTTAATTAAGACGGCGAAAATCTAGATTTAAATAAATAATGTGGAAATGTGCTCAGCAATGCACCCCAAAGATGTGAAATCCTTCCTCTACGACCAAGGTTATTTTATCTGAGCCCCTTGCCTTAAGCTTTAAAGAGTTTATAAAAAACGGCTTCTTGTTATAGTAAACAACAGAGCTGATGTACAATGGATATTTCTGTGGTTGGGTATTAAAATGTATCCAATGTTTACCCTTCCATGACTTTGAATACAAATGGTACTTTTTTTATTTATCTTATTTTCAGGATAACTGTTTTTGTAGAGCCCTATTTGGAGGTTTAACTTTTCTTTAATACTGTCATCTCAAATTCTGTTTGATACCAAAACAAAATTTATATAAACAGATGGAAAGTATCTTCAGACCAACCCAGTGGTTCTCACAGGGGGACAGTTTACCCCTGCTCATTCACTTGGTAATGTCCAGAGATGTTTCTGGGTGTGACAGCTCAGGGGAACCACTGGCATCTAGTGGGTAGGGGACAGAAGTGCTGCTAAACAGCCTATTAAACACAGGACAGACCCTCACAACAAAAAATGGCCTGGCCCAGAAGGTCAGTGTTGAGAAATCCTGAACTAAAGCGAGTGAATGCCTGGAAATATCCCCCACAGCAGCCATTCCAGGGGGCAGGCCATGCTTTTCCTGGCTGGCACAATTAATGAGTGGATGTTCGAGTCTTCCTTCAAAATCATGAAGTCCGCCATGGACACAACGGTAGATATTCTCTATGTACACGATATAGATTAGACCATGCCTTTTACCATCAGAAATCATGCCCACACCATTTTTTTTCCACTTTCTGGCTTTTAATATACAGGTTTCATTTAAATGCTTAGTAGTGTGAGTTACTCAGTTACACTTCGCTGCAACATTGGACTTTCTAAAGCATTTTGATAATTTATGGGCCCAGTGAAATAGAATGAAATCTGGAGATATATGGGAAAGTGGGCCTGGGAGAGGGGGCAGTTCAGAAGCTGTCACCCGGGAGGGTTTGCCTGGGGAAAGAGAGCAGTGGCTCCATGCCCTGACTGTTTCAGGGCTAGCATGAGAGCCAAGGGACCAGCGAGGCTGCAACCAGGCCTACTTCCCTAAAATCTAATTCTAAGAAACTTTGAATAGACTTCTCAGATGAGCTATGGAACTGCTGCTAAAATACTCAAGTGGGACCTTTCTGTGACTGTCCTTTTAGTTAAACGTTATGGTGAGGGGGGGAAAAAAACCCCAAACAGATTCACTTATGCTTGAGGCTCATAGGAACTTCTGAGAGTGGCAAGAGAAGCAGACATCTAGCTACTCCACATTTTTTTTTCCCAAAGATTTATTTACTCATGAGAGAGAGGCAAAGACACAGGCAGGGGGAGAAGCAGGCTCCATGCAGGGAGCCTGACATGGGACTCGATCCCAGGTCTCCAGGATCACACCCTGGGCTGAAGGTAGCCCTAAACCACTGAGCCACCCAGGCTGCCCTCCACTTCTAACAAGAAAGAGGTCTCATAAAGGGGTGTCCCAGGGAAGGAGGAGATTTCCTATACAAGCGTATTCCTTTATTCTTTCTCCGTGGCTTTCAACCATGGGTGCACCATAGAGTCCAATAAGAGGCTTCAAGAAAAAAAAAAAAAGCCCAAAACTGAACCAGAATCTCTGAGGGTGACGGATGATGGGATAAAAAAGCAGTGGTACTTCAAGAACAGCATATTAATGGCACCTCTAATTTTGGGAGACATGTGTTCTGAAAGTGCCCTGATTTGGGGTGATGGGAGGGGGGGCGGTTTGGAGGGGAGAATATTAAACTCACTAAAGGATTATGCTGTTAAAGATGCTAGAAGAAATACAGTCCCCCTTTGTGTCGAAGAGGACACTGACCGTTAACAAACCAGGGGCGAGATGTGGAAGAAACAAAGAAATATCAACGCTGAGGGGATTACCTGAAATACATGGCCACAGGTTCAAGCAGAAAGATCAGAAAAGGGTGTCAGTGAATTTTTAGACAGTGATTCTCACTGAATACCCCAAATGCCCTGTTTTTAAAATTAAAATGGTCCCCAACTTTAATCTTCTAAAAAATCGGAAGTTAGTAAATTCTGAGCTGGATGAGATTTCCGATATTAAAACCAGTGAAGAAGAAAATTGGCTTACGTGTGTCATCTCTCACTGGACTGACTTTGTAGAGCTCCAACAACAGAACAACACTGAAACGCTGGGAGGACAGGCCTTCGGTTAGAGAGGAGGGTTTGTAAGGAAACAGTTTTGGCCCAAAGTTTTCCACAGTTAAAAAGAAAGTGTTGCTTTTTTTAAAAAAAAAAAAAGGTTGAAGTCAGAAATGACAGTTTTTGTGAAAGTCGATGTTTGCAAAGGAATCCAAAGGTCCACTTGAGTTTGGCCAGTAGGTTCTGGCCTAAGATTTATATCTTAGAATGGATAGAATCCATTCACAATATTTACATCAAAGTAGATTGCTGACTTTAACTTTTCGTGTGTAAATTCTCACTTTGCCTTATCTTGCAGAAATTCTGGCCTATGAAGTCTGGCCAACTTCAGCGAGAGAGGATCCTGGGGGTGGGAAGAAATAGTACCACAGTCTTTATAGGGCAAGACTTTGTGTGCTTTGCATACAATTTTAAAGAATCTCCATGGAACATGATCACAAGTTTTTTTTGAAACAATTATTTGACAGGTGCTAACTCTGGTGACAAGCTAACAAAAAAATACTAGCAAATTAAAGCTATACACTAAAAAGAGCTGTTCCCCAAAAAGGATCTCTTCCCCCCAATAAAAGCAATAGCCAAGGGGAGAGGTACCAAATAATAAAGATCTGTTTCTTTGAATGGTAGTGAACAAGTACTATGGTTTACCTCTTGTAGTGATTTTTTTAAAGTGGAATTGGTATATGTAAAACTAAAATTTTATAATAGTTTGTTATATGTTTTTTAACTTGGGTAAGGATGGATGATTGACCCCATCAAGTGCTTACGACTTACGAAAAAGGATGTCTCAAACATTATATGAAAGTGACATTTACCAAAACTGCAGAAGGGCATTTCTTTACCCGTAATTCCACTTGCTGAAGTCGATGTTTTTTCCAACAAACTCACTGAGGAATGCTTCTCGCACACAAGCTAAATTGAACCAAAAATAATACTCCTATGCCCAGGTATGGTAATTAGTACAGCAAAATCCCATACATTTACGGGACATGGTAGCCCCTAGGGTAAAGTCAAATACAATGTGCAACTGTGAGCCCTGCCTGAATAAGTACCTACAAAATGGACAATTTTTTTTTTTTGGCAACAGTTAGTGGGTTGGCATGGTTGAGTTTAGTCAGTTAAACACATTTCATAAGTTGTTTATTTGCGACGTTGATTCCATTTACAATACTTGGTGGGTTTCTCAGGGCCAGGCATCACCATATGGCTAGCACCTAGCATCCTGCCTAACTGCTCGTGAGAAATGCTTTATCACTACTTGCTGAATCAATACAGTGAAATCCCAGGAGTCCATTCCTGATTACAACCAGTTTTGCACATCACAATTTTCCTTCGTGTTCCAAAACCTCACTGATTTACACAGTTTGTTTTTTTGTACTACCTTAAAATTCATGCAAACAGAACTTTCCTGTATGTAAAGTGAACACAAGAACATACTGTTAAGTGCTATTTTACCAACTTTGGGGGCGTTACCCATTTCAGAATGTGAGCTAATAGAAATATGCTTGTAATAAAAACTGACAACTGTGACAAAAATAAGGATATATATTAAAATAAATCAAATGATATACAATACTGTCATTATTCTGATACAGAATTTTTACACAGCAATATTGATATAGCACATGGCAGGATGTCAGGTAATCCATTATAAGAGACCTTCTGGTTACAAATGGGAGTTTAAATTACAACTTCATACCGATTTTAAAATGGTAACAAGTGGTATGCCAGATTAAAATCAATACTCCCTCTTCAAGTGACATTTTCTGGAACATCTCTAACTGTGAGACTTAAAAAAAGTAAACTTCATAAAAAGAAATAAATGTAATGTTGTATTGGAGAACCTTAAAAAAAAAAAACCCAAATCTAGAAATAGGGACTAAATTGACTTTCCATTTCCCTCTGGACTTACTCACACCTGCCACACAGCTGACCTGAAGTCATGTTGCATGAATAAGTCCATGAAAGCTTGGAAGCACCCCAACCTCTACTCTGTCTAGAGAAGTCTGGAGTGTCTAGTTCAACTACACATCCTTCACTGTTTAAGTATCAGGCAAAAAGCTTGATTCTTAACACTGACTCTGCCAGCAAGTTAGGAGAATATGGAATGACCCTATTCCCCACTTTAAAATGCTAGAGGGCTGGTGAGGGAAATGGTGAAGAATAACGTGAGAGCCTTAAAATTCTTTGAGGAGAGAAAAGAGACCTGAGGGTGTGTGTGTCTGCGTGCGTACGTGTGTGTGTGTGTGTGTGTGTGTGTGTGTGATGGGCAGGGCTGGGGAAAGGGAATTTAAGAAAAAAATGTTTCTGTAACAAAAGATCAAATTCTTACTCTCCTCATTTCTGTGAAAATGGGTGAGTTTTTGGCATCTAAAGAGCCAAGCCAAACCAAAACATAAACAGGGAAATGAGAACTGGTTCCATAATGCCTTGCACTTTACATTTGTATCCAAAATTAAAATCCTCTTTCAATTAAAAAAAAACATCATTTAAACATCAAAGATAGAAATGTTACTTGGATAGTTGAGGAAGCAACAGCATTTCTTTCTGGCATATTATTTGTTTGGCACAATCACAAGTAAATAGACTTTAGAGACATCATGTGGCTGTTCACATTTAAAGTTTCTGCTCTCAAGTGATTACTTTCGGGCTAAACAAATAAATCGATTAAATGAAGTCCGTAAACAGGCTAAGCCCGGCATACATGGACATGTGTGATGCATTCTCCGCCCAAAAAATGGAACCTAAGATAAAAGAAGAAAACTGAGTCAGAGCAAGAAACATTAAAAAACAAAAACCAGAAATAAACTATTCTGCAGAACTCTTTTTGAATAATAACAGCTAGTGTTATATTGAACGTTAACTCTTCATCAAGCAATACGCTCATTTTATGTATTATCCTTTTTCATCCTTACAACCACTCTGTGAAGATGACAAATGCTTGAATTATGCCCATTTTCCAAGTGAGAGATTGAGACACAGAGAGATTAGTAATTTGCCCAAGGTCCCATACTCAGTACTTGGAGCTTGGCTGGCAGGTGGACCAGAGAGACCAAGCTTTTAACCACCAAGTTATACTGCCTTTTACTTCTTCATTTCAATTCTTTCTCTAGCATCTTACTAATGAAGCTCCTTAATGAGGGCATGACATTAAGAGGATGACCACATTGATATAATGAGTAAATATGAAGTCACGGACAATGAGCAATATACAAACTCACATGTTTGCACACAGATTGGCAGAGGGGGTCAAAATTCTGGGAAGTGTAGGTAGGGAAGAAACAAAAGGGAAATTAAGGAAGAAGTCAAGCTGGAGTCATGGAAAAGGAACAAACCAAACCCTGACCTAGGGAGAGCCAGCAGAGAAGGGATGGCTTCATTCCAAGAGTCATCCAAGTGGTATTTCTGAGTCTTGCCCATGCCACCAATGAAGCTGGGTTGAGGATGGTCACCCAGAAACTGGCATGGTGGTCCTCTGTCTCATGGGCAGTGGAGTTCCGCAAAGTACATATACTTTCCAGAGGCAAAGAACAAAATTCATTCTCTCTCCAACACCCCCCCGCCCCCACCGGCAACCTCTTGAGGATCCCCTTTGCAAGTATAGGGAGAAAGTTTAACCCCAGCCCTGGAGGTGACAGATTGTCACTGAAATGGGATGATAAATTACACTGGTCCACAGTAACGTGACAGAGTCAAGCTATTCAGAGACTCATGCCTCAGAGATCCTTCTACAGTTTCCACATGGCAGAAAAATGCATCCTGTTTCTCAACTCAGATGCTTTATTCACTATCGTTCTAGTGTATTTCCTATTCTACTCCACCTAAAAAGGCCACCCCATGCCAATTATCCCTGTCCTAATGAGAAAGTCTGAGATGCATCTTCCAGATGCCTTCTAAATGATTTCTCTGTACATTAAAAAAAATGTTGTCTGCAGACAGTGACAGAACCATTCTAACTTTACTTTGGGGTTGAACTAATAGGACAGACCCAACTGTACGGTAGTCCAGAAATGGTCATGGCTGATTGTGCTGGGCATCATCTTTGGGTTGGTACCATGCTCATGTTCTTCTTACCTCCTCTTTCCTTTTTTTTCTCTTCCTCTTTCTTCTTTCCTGCCTTCCAGTTCCAAAATGGTTCTGGAAGGGCCAGGGAAATGATTGAGATCAATAAATACAAAAGGAAGAAAGGGAAGCAACAGGCGGACATTGACAGGCAGGTGGTGAAGAGGCAGAGCCACCTCGGGTTCCTCTGCCGTTTGGCAAGGGCCTTATTTTCAAGGCTGTAATGACAGTGCCTACACGCAGGTGCCACAGCTCCATGCAGGCCGTCAGCTCCATGCAGGCTTGTGCTCAGAATGGTTCTGCCACTGTGTGTGTCAAAGGGCACATGGATGGCTAGCTCATTTGTTGGCACTGAGAATATTGTCAGAGGACGTGGACCTGGCTGCACTGGCTCAGACAATTACAAGTGGACAGTACGAGAAGTTATAATCCCTGACCTTTATGATCTATTCTAGCCCTGAGACTTGGAGAGCCTCATTTTGTCACACATGTCACTACATGGGCATGTGGTTCTCAGTTGAGGGTGCTTCTGTCCCCAAGGGGACATCTGGCAATATCCAGAGACATTTTTGATTGTCACAACTTGGGGGAGGGAGTGTTAGTAGTGGGTAGAGGCCAGGGATGCCGCTGGACAGACTCCAAAGCACAGGACAGCCCCTCAACAATGAGACTCTCTGGCCCAAAGTGCCAACGGTGCCAACGTTGAGAAAAACAAACACAACAGCAACACCCAAGGTAATGAATTGAAGCCTGAGATAAGTGAAATGTAACTATAATGAACATGTCAAACAACACCAAGCATGTTTCTTTTATTGACCCATTCAGCTAATATATACTGAGTGCCACTGACACAGCAGTCCATAGTTGAGATGCTACAGATAGAGTGATGAACAAAACAGGAAAGGCCTCAGCCCCTCAGGGGGTGTAAATTTTAATGATGGAAGACAGATAACCAGTAAGATAGTTTAAGCTCTGAATAGGCACCCTCATGGAGCTTGCAGTCTTGTGATTTGTGTGCATCAAGACACCATGGCCGCCCTCTGGCCTTCATGTGGGCTCCCAGTGCCTTGAAAACAGGAGCAAAGAAAAATAATGGTGGCAGCCTGCCATGCCCAGGCTTCATAAGGGACTGCATGTCAATGTCACACCCAACCTGTGTGCCAGATTTTTGCCTTGTTTTGACACAAGCTAAGTGGCTTCCTCTTGAGGTGAAATTACTCGGCTAACTGCAGTCACCCAGCTAAAAGGGAACATATCACAATCAAACGCAGTCCCGCTTTCTTCCAGATTTTGCTCTTTTCTCAAACACCACCATTCCCTCCAATGCCAAGCTCTTTGAAGAAAGGACATCTTATTTGTAAACACATGGGACTTAGCCTGGTACACAGGAGGCACTTAAGCAAATACAAGTTAAAAGCCGGTATCCTTCCAACCCCCCCAACCCCAAGACTGTGCGCTGCCCAAAGGCAGAGAGGTAGCCTTCCCAGGTCCTGTTATCTGCACCTGCACATAGTGGTTTTCCTCCTCCCCTTCCATCTGTGAGCTAATGACAAAGAACATCATTTCTGACGTTATACACTTAGTAGATGCTTGGGAACTCCTCCACTGGCCTACTCACTTCTAGCTCTACACATTTTATGTGACAAACTTAAGAGGTATCTTATAGTCACAGGTACATGAAAAAGTATACAGAAGGTGCATATTCAGAGGCACAAATAAATATGGCCCAGGAGCTAACCATTCAGTCCCAACCTGAGGGTTTATTTTAGAATAAACTCAATCCAATGTGATCCATTTGCAGCACTTTTAAAGGGAAAATAGCACAGAAACAAAGCACTGACTTATCTCAAAACAGTCAATTTTGCTAAAGAAAGAGATATAACAAAGGATTGATGGAGGAGACCCTGGTTGTGTCACATGAAAAGCACGGGTCTACCGTGGGAAGCTGGTTTGGGGTAGGCAAAATGGGTGAAGGGAGTCAAGTTGAATAGTGATAGATGAGGATCATTTTGTACTTCAGACGTCAAAGCACAATGTTGTGATTGTGATTGATTCAGGTTGTATACCTGAAACTTATATAATTTATACACCAATTTTACTTCATTAAAACAATGTTTTAATGTTTTAAGCAATTTTTAATGAAGTCAGTTTTGTTATAACTCTTGTCAAACTTACACAGTTCAAAAAATTTCAAATACTGTAATAGCACATAAAATAGAAACTAAAAGTCTCACAGTACCTGTCCCATTCCCACAAGTTTCCAGCTTTAGTAATTAGGAAGATTGTCAACATACTTTAATTTGGTCAAGTCTTAAAAGGTCTCTTCAAATTCTTTCAGAATAAGTATATATCTATGTAACCCAAAACAATGCAAGGATTTATCTCCTTGTGAGTAGAGGGTTAACATGAGATCTCATCTCCCATCTCACTGTGTCCTTGGAAAGAATAACAGAAAGGAAGGAATAGGGGAGTCAGGCTCGTGGGTTGTGTGGAACTTCATCTGGGCAGCGGAAGCTGTTGGCATGCAAGTCTGGGCAAATACTTGCAAGAAGTAAAGGTGGTAGCTCCTGTGAGTCAAGGGGACCTACCCCCCACACCCTACCCCACACACACTCAGGCTCTCATTTGGGGCAACCATAAGTACCCCGTGTGGAAGAGAGGGCAAGCGAAGTTGTGAGCTCACAATGCAATGATGCTGCTGTATCTCTTACACTGTGTCCTGTGGGGCTGGGTAAATGTAGTGTTAGGCCAGTGGTGCTCAAGCAGTGCACCGTCCATCTCCCCAACTGTCACAGGGGAAATGTCACAGTCTGGAGACATATTTGGTTGTCACAACTGAGAGAGGGAGACTACTGGCATCTAGTGGATAGAAGCCAGGGAAGCTGCTAAAGATCCTATGATGCACTGAGTGGTCCCAACAACAAAGAGCTATCGGGCCCATCCTGTCAACAGTGCCCAAGCTGAGAAACTCTGTATATCTACCTCCTCTGAGTCTGACAATGAACTTGTATTCACACCAATGATGCTGCCCAGAGAGAGAAAATGTAGATAGTGGCTCCTGACATCTGTGATAGGAAAGATGAGGAAATTAACGTATTAAGCTTTCATCCACCCATCTTCCACTAAATTCTGTAGTTATATTTTAAATATATATTTATATATTATATATTTTATAAAATATATGTTATGTATTTTGTATATTTTTAAATATTTTTTAAAGGTAAACTCTATCCTGAAAGTATATTTACAATGTTTCATCATAGGTTAGTTCTGAAACAGAAACTAATAATTTTTAAATCTTCCTTTCTTTAAAAAAAAGACAAGTCCCAGGTTTTAATTTTTTTTTTTTCAGAAAAGGAAAATGTATTGGTCAAATTTTAAAGTGTAGCTTAAAAAAAAAAAAAACTACCAGAAAACAAAAGGCAAACAGGTACTAAAAACGTTAACATAAAAAGTGAAGCAAAAACAATTTGGGGGGAGGAAACAGTCATTTAAATTGAATAATTTATAAAATGATAAGTAATAAAAATAAAAGTATTAATCACATAAACTTTCAAAGCCAAGCAGTAATCAGAATGGGATGGAAATAGCCAATCTTTTAAACTCTGAAAAGTTTAGGTATTAATTAAAATACTAAAATAGTGGGGGTTTTAAAAAATATTTATTTATTTAACAGAAAGAGAGCAAGAGAGTACAAGCAGGCAGAGTGGCAGGCAGAGGAAGAGGGAGAAGCAGGCTTCCTGTTTAGCAGAGCGCCCGCTGTGGGAGTCCATCCCACGACCCTGAGATCACGACCAGAGCCAAAGGCAGACACGTAACCAAATGAACCACTCTGGCACCCCAAAATAGTGTTGTTTTTTAAAATAGCAAAATATTCCTTGTAGACGTATGATTCAATAATTCATCCCTAACTTTAAAAATTGCTAAAAAATGAATACATGTTAAAACTTATGACTAAAAGTGTGTTTGGAAAACATACTATTCTTCTTAGGTGAACTGATATTTCATTCTACTTTTCAATTATCAAATATAAAGTTAAAAATTGTACAATTATAAAATTATAGCCTAGCAGTTACTGTAAACTCCACACATTAGTTGATGTATCTGAAATAAAATAGTAGACTGAATTCTGTGACTATCAATTCCTACTTGAAGTTCACAATTTCATTCATCAAATACTACTCGCTTTATCAAAATAAACAGACATTTGTGGCTAATGTCTAAGCCGAGCCAGAACGGAAAATTCAAAATTTAAACAGGTGTAATCTCCACTTATTAACAGTCTTGTGTTTTTAAAACACCAATCTCTGTGACCACAACCAGTTAATCCCTTTAAAAAAAAAAAAAGAAAGAAGAAAGGAATGATCACATCACATTAAAAGAAAATTTTCTATGCAGCGTGTATACTTTTGCCACATACTAATGAGCCATTAAAACTGTAATTTGAAGTTGAACACTGTGTATTACATTCACCAGGATATATTTGCAAAATACATTCTTCTCAAGTTGTTTTGAATAGAATATAGTGGAGAGAAGATCTGGAAGTAACTAGATTTTTACCAGGATAAATTAATATCACCTAGAATAAGTAACAACTCCAGGACCTACTTTAAAAATAGAAATGACATATGAAAATGTATTTTCAAGACAGAAAAGTATCCAGTAGGAAAAGCTGTAAAGCATGAGTTCTAGTAACACTTTTCAAGTGTGCAACCGAAAGGGGGAAGAGTCAAGATCTGAAATAAAACCTTTATTTTATTTTTAGTCCTTTAGCTCTTTTATCACTTAATTCTACTATGAAAAGCATAATTTGTTATTAAAGACTTCATTACTCAAACTGTGATTAAAAACAAAGGTGTGGAGATGTATCCGGATTTCTGGGAGAAAAATGATTTTGTTTACTCTCAGAAATAACCTTGCACTACACCTGAACTGGAAGCTGTCCAGGCACCCAGGGAAACAGAATTGGGTTCTCTTATTAAAATCCCGCAGATTCGGAAAACTCATCAGAAATACAGGTTGTGACAAATTCCCCTGGAGGACCATTATCTTATCCTACACAACCCAGTTTTGGTTAACTGGAGTCCAAAGTGCTCAGATGAAACCACTTTCAAGGTGGCACAAGGGTATGATGATCAAGACTGCACAACCAATGGAGCATCAGACAGAAATGAAGTCCAGTGCTGCTCTGAGACCTCTCACCTCGTGACCTCAGCCAGATACCGAGTTCCTGTAAGGCTTAGTGTGTTTGTATGCAGAATCTGCTGGAAACAAATGTGTTTCACGGGCTTGTTGTGTTAAATATGAAATGCATATACAACATTTCATACAGAGTGTCTGGTGCATCAGAGCCTTCAACCAGTGGCAACTGGGCTTTGCTACAATTACAAAGAATACTTGCATAGAATGTGTCGCTCTTTGCTTGTTTTAGCAAACAGGCTGCATGATTCTGGTATGCAGGGGGTGTAAGGGTATGGTAAGACTGGACAAAAACAATAACATTCTTAAAGGAAAAGATTAAGAGCAAACCTTGCAATGAAGTGGCTCAAATGTACAAAAGTTGAGACTCGCACTCGATAAGGGTGATGACAAAACTGACATCAATGCCAAAGGTGGCTGGGCTGGTGTCATCTCCTCCCCTGGGAGTTTGGCATTGAGACAGACAACTAACCGTTTACAACCTTTCCTGTCTTCAAGTGGCTAAGAATAAAAGGTGCATGTCATGTTTTATGACACTGAAGCCATGGGGACCAATGGTCTAAACGGAACAGGAAGTATTTCTCAAGGAAACCACAGGAGAGACAAGCTCTGTCTTCAGAGAGACTCAAACAAGTGGAGTCCCTATTACAGCTCACAGAGCTAAACATACACCAATTTCTTTCATTACCTTCACTCTAAGAAAGTCAAAATAGTAACTGTTATCTGCAATTGTCCAGCATAGGGAAGATGAGGGGCTCTACTGCAGCTTTCAACCCTAAACCACAGGTGGGGTAAAAAAAAAAAAAAAAGGTAGAAGGCACGTCCAGTTTGCTTTGAAAGCCTTCTATCTATTTCAAAAGAGGAGTATACAACGTTGGCCTAGAGAAAAAGTGGCAGAGAGACTGAGCTCCGCCTCCAGCCAGCCACCTGGCCTGGGACAAGCCCTCTGCTGGCCCCGGACTTCACTCTGCTACTGGGTGAAACCAGGAGATGGCGCTAGGGGAGCAAGGTATTGCTTGCTACCTGGCCTCTCTGGGGGATCTTACTGACATCCCAGTCTTTCAAGTTTTGATTCAGAAGGGCCAAGACTCTTCAGGCTCCACACACTTTTCTGCTCCCTCCAGTCCCTAATCCATCCCCATCCCGCTTCCTGAAGTAATGTCACTGATTGGCTCTTGGAGACAGGAGCATCTGCAACACAACCTGGAAAGTGCCATCCAATCCTGCCGATATACAGTCATGCCACTTACCACCAAAACTGTTCAAAAGTGTTGTTTAGGTCTTTAGGATACAGAATACATTGAACACTTAAATGTCTTTAACCTCTAGGATTATGAAGTACTAGATTATGTGTACTGCGTAGACAGAGTGAAAATAAAGGACCTTTAAAGATAAAAGGATAACTGTACCATTGATGATTTTCTGCAAGAAACAAAACACAAAGTTATTCACTTTTTGCCTTATCAGTAGGTCTGATATCAAAAGGCTTTTCCAGAACCTCTGTACTCTGATTCCTGCAAAGCAGCATACATTTTTTTGTCCTAAATAATTTTTAGGCAAATTCATGCATTTGAAATTATCTTTATGAAATGTTTCTCATGTCATGAGAGTAATGACATGAAAAATGATTCACTAGAGTAAGGATGATAGAGGATCCAGTTCTTTAAAATAGGAGGGGAGGGGGAGAGGAGGGGTTTCCCATTGTCATCTTCTCTAACTTATAATTTCAAGCACATTACCCTGGGTTTCATGTCAGACAGGCCTTGTTGGGAGTTGAGTTACTGAGTTACTGCAACATAAGAGAACCACCATAAATCCAAATATATATACTAACTTTACGAGTCAGCGGATGGCAGCTGTCTCCCACTTTGCCCATAGGTGTGCAAATCCTTATGCTCTTAACCCAGATACTAACAGCACAGCACATGCCTCCACCACACTGGGGGTCCTTGTCGCAGGCCTGAAATGTAACAAACAAACAGATAAATATAGATGGCGGGGAAGTCTCAAGCTAAGGAAATCTAAAATTAGCAGTAAAAATGCTCTTTAAATCACCAACCACTAGGATTTTAATAATCATACACATATAAAAAAGAACTGTAATCTTCATTTGCTTGCACATATTTATCATAAAATCTGATGAGAAGAGATTTTCCTAGTTTTATAAAAAATGGCCTGAAGAATGGCCTACACATTATGAAAATCTTAAATAAACATACACAGAAAATCACCTCTATTTTTCTAGTGTTTTGTGGCTGAATTGGCTTTGAATTTGAAAAACGAGTCTGCGTTAGACTTATACTATACATGGCCATTAGGAACTACATAAATTGAATCATGAGATTTTATGACTATTAACTGCAGAATACATTGGGCCCAAATTTAAGAAGGGATTTAAATGGTCTCTAAATCTGGCATGAAATGCTCCAGACCCATAAAGGCACTGATGTAAATTTTAAAAGTGCTCATTTTCCCTTTCAAATATTTGCATTTTGGTTCATGAGACTTGATGTTTCTCACACCACTGGCTTGATTTTCACATTTCCTCTTTAAAGAAAGAAATCTCATAGGTTGGGAATGGACAAACCAAGACTTTTGTCTTATGTTACTTTTTTCCAGGTAACATGCAAAAAAGGAAATTATTGGCTCAGAGTGTACATATGTGTATATTACAAAGTCAGTTGAACACTTAAGATTAATCAGATTTAGAAATGCAAATGGCAGATGCAATTTTCGGCAATTTATTGTAAATATAAATAATTAAAGAATCAACTATGGAGGAATTTTCATACTCTAAGTAGAAATAAATAACACAGTCTAAATTTATTTGCATGAAAATAGACCTGAAAAACAATTGTTCCTTCCTAGAGCCAACAAAAAATAGGATGCTTTAAGTAGTGTGTTATAATGTTTTGCTAGCAATAAGGCAAAAACACCCTGTATTATATATGTAAGAAACTAAAAAGTCCATAGTTTAGACAAAAACTTAAATTTTTTACATTTATTGGAAACAACTGAAACGCTCCTTCAAGGTTCTTCTCCTTCAAAGTTTTGGGGCCAGCCACAAGTTCTCAAAATATAAATATATGGGCATACCCTTATTCACTATTTTTTGTTAAAAATTACTAACCATCCTACTTTAGAGTTGGCTTATTTCCTTCATCAGAATTTTTTTCTCAGCCTCTTTAAAACTATATGGACAAAAGCAACAATTTTCACCTTGGGGTCTTAGGACATACACAGGAAAACATCCAAACATTTCCATTTTCCAATTTTTATCTGTACGCCAGAAATCATGTATACGTGGCCATTACATTCCATAAATGAGAGGTTCAGTACATGATCTTTTCCAAAACGGTTTTAACAAATCTATGCGGAATATAAATCAACATCAAAATAACTACACCTACTACCAAAAAATGTAAATATTTAAGGTGGAGGTTTCAGGGAGTATTTTCTGTCAACAGATGCTCAAGATCTGGAATTCTGAAGCTCCACTACTTTTTATAAGACAATCAAAATGCAGTCAAAATCTTTCAAAAATTCAGTCAATCACTAGGATGTTTAACATCCTGAAGACGATAAGTTACTAAGTTTTTCATTTGGCTCCAGATGGTTCCTGTCATGAAGACATAACTACATTTCTTTATTGCCACTTTGCTTAGAGAAATTTTAAAAAATTCTTTTTGTAACACTGAGTTAAAACAACAACAACAAAAACATCCCATGTAAGTTCACCCTGAATGTCTCTAACAGACAAACATCCAATGTGATAAAATTTCACTTCTGTAACAGAAAGCTTCACTTCTTGGAAATATTTACAAAGAAATGCATGGGTTTATATAATTTTAATTAGACTGCTGTTTCCTAACGCCCTTCATCCTTAACCCATTGCAGACCTATTCAAATAGTGTTGTCCTGTGAATGGAACAAAAAGATACTTATATTGCAAAGGAATTCTGGGCTCAGAGGATTAGGAGAAATTTAAAATGAGCCAGCAGGGGAAGAGGGGGGAAAAGCCCAATCATGTTCCAACACATATATTAGAAAGACCTGTAAAAACTTTTTTTTTCCCCAACCACACTGACAAAGCTATTCAAATACACTTTTAAAAAATCTGTAATTATTTTAATAAGTACCACAATGTTTATTATACCTATGGGATATAACCAAATACTGTTATTGTACAAGGGCTTTCAAGATGCTATAGACCTATTAACTAACTTGGAGACTACGGAGCTTTATTTTCTCAAGACAAGGGCCGACTTCCCTCACATTTAACTATTTCATTATCTATTACCAGTTCAAACAGAGAGGTTTTATTTAAATCCCATAATGTGCACATAGATAATTGAAATCAATGTAATGGAGGTGTAAAAAAATTTCAGACTTAAAAAAAAAAAAAAAAAAAAGATAAAAGAGTAAAGCAGTCGAGGAGCCGGGCAATGGTAAGCGATTTTGCACTGTGGAGGTCGACCAGAGTTTTAAATTTTGTACTCTTAAACTCATCCTGCAGATCCACACACAGAGGACTGTTGGTGGGAGTAGGAGAGGACTGACTCAGTTCCCACTTCCGAAAATGAGGAGGACAACTTCTCTAAGTTGAAACAAACATCAACATTGTAACCTAACTCCATAATTATGCCCGAGCTCTGGAGGTGCTTTATCAGGAATTGCAAATGGAAAAAAAAAAAAAAAAACCAAAAACAAAAAACTTTTACGAGGAAAACCTCAAGACGCTAAAAAAAAGAGAAAGAAAAAAAAAGAAGCAAGCAAAAAGCCGTGGAAACCAAAAGGAAGCACCCCCCCCCCCCAATTGCTTTTCCCAAGCGCACACAGGGCCTCGGAGCAAGTTATTTCAAGGGGTTTTCCGTGGAGGGTGCAAGGGGGGGTAAGGTCCTTGAGCATAGGATTAAAGTCTCAGGATTGGGGTGTGTGTGTGCGGGGGGGGGGGGTCTCTGGCCGCTGCGCGCGTCAGGCAGGGCCTCTCCAAATTTTAAGGTTCGAGGCTGGAAGTCTGGAAGAAGCGCCGGAGGAGACTGTGCACGCGAACTTCGTGCAGCGCTAACACAAACACAGACCGGGCTCGCGGAGGGAGCCGGCAGGGGGTTAAGAGGGGCGCGAGCAGGGCACGGCGGCGGCACGCGGGGCACCGTCTCTTCCACGGTGCGCCCAGGGCGGCGGGCCGTGCGCCGCCCTCGGATCCGGGCACCTCTCCCTCCCCGAGCCCCACGGGGCGCCTGGGGCGGGCGTCCCCGCCCGGGGGCGCCGCTCCCCGAGCCGCTGCCCTCCCCGAGCCCCAGGGGCGCAGCGCGGGCGCGCCTCCCCGGCGGCGGCGGCGGACAGGTGCGCCCGGGGCCGCTTACCCCTGTGATGACGGCGGCGTCCCCGGCGGGGGGCGTGAGCAGCAGCGGCGGCAGCAGCAGCAGCAGCAGGAGCAGCGGGGCGCAGCGCGGGCCCCTCATGGCGCCCTCGGGACGGCGCGGCGGTTGCGGGGCGGTTGGGGGCGCGGGGGCGCGGGGCCGGGGCGCGCTCGCTGGAGCGCGGAGCGCGGCGGGCGGCTGGCGGGCGGCTGGCGGGCGGCTGGCGCGAGCCTGCGGGCCGTTATAAAGGCGAGCCCCGCCGTGACTCACGCCGGCGCCCGCCCGGCAGCACGCGCGGGGGGCACACTCACACACACACACACGCACACGCACACGCGCGCCCACCCCGGCCCGGCCCGGCCCGGCCCGGCCCGGCGGCCCCGGGACGAGCACGTGCCGCGCGCGGCTCCCCGCGCCCCGCCCCCGCCCCCGCCCCCGCCCCGGGCGCCACGCAGGCAGCGCCCCCCGCGGGGCGCCCCGCTCCCGGCCCGCGCCTCGCCTGCAGCCGCCCGCCCCTCGCCTCCGCCTCCAGCACGCGCCGCAGCCGCTTTGTGGTCGCAGGGAGACGCGCTCGTGCCGCGTCCTGCTTGCCAGGGCTCCACGTGCTCGGCGCCGAAAACTTGCAGCTCATTTGCTGCGCAGATGTTTAGGGAGCGCCTACTACGTGCCAGGCGCTCAGACGCCCCCCGGGGAGCCGGCGCGGGAGGCGCGGGAGGCACGGGAGCCTCGGGCCGCGTGCATTGGGGCGCCTGCTGCGTGCCAGGTACCGGCCACCCGGGGGGTGGGGGGGTGGGGGGGGTCTGGCCTCGTGGTCCAATAACCGAGCAGAAAAGGCACGCATCAAACAAATAAACCGGGAAACGTGGAAGACAGGAGGGGGGAAACAAGAACAAAGGGCAGGCGAAATCACCCCTAATCCCACATCCCTGACGACATTGTGAGGTTTGTCCTTCCAGCTGTGGGAGTCCAAGTTCTTTTCTTTCATTTCCAATGCTTTCCCTTTATGCTCACATCTGCTCTCCTCCCTGAGTCTCCTCACATGCATGTATTTCCTCCCTTCTGGAACATCGCGCCAGCTCCAGAGCACTTCAGGATGGTGCCAAAGGAAAATGAGGACGCCTGGCTTGGGGTGCCAGGCTGAGGCCCCTTGAGCCCCAGGTAGGCAGCTCCCTCTTGTTTCACGCTCCAGCCCCGGGAAGATCACCCTTCAGTCTTGGAAGACGCCAGACAGCATCACTGTGATTCATTCATCCGCGTGAGGCATGACTTGAGTGCCTACTGGGTTCTAGGCTACGCACGAGAGGACGAGTGGCAGATTTGCCCTGCCTCCCTGACCCAAGCCTGGTTCCGAGAATCCCAGCCTGTTTCTCTCCAATGAAAACGATCTCAGGAATACCTAGCTGTGACCGCTGCCAACCTTGCTTGCATCGAAGTTTTGGGGAAACCCGAATTTGTTCCTGAATCGTCAGAACCTCTCTGGCTTTCCCTGGTGGCCTTCGGACCACAAACTGTTGAAAAGCAGATGCCTCTTTTGGTCTCTTTAATAAATGCAGTGAGGAGAGTCGGGACAAAGTTACTTTCAGACTGCGGGGTTCCCCATGCCAAAGCATTCAGACTAAATGTGGAAAAAGAAAAAAAAAAAAAAAAGCAAGGCAATTATCTGAATTTTAAACAGCTGAATATTTGGAAAACCAAATTTTTGACTGAGTTTTAAAATCTTTCTTTTTGCTCATGTTTTTATGTTTGGGGAAACATCCTGAAACAGGAAAAAAAAAGTAAACTTTTTTAACTTAAAAGAAATTTGTTAAAATTGGACTTACAGCAAAGTAAGTGGAAACAGTAGCAAGTGACAGATTGGTGGAAAGTTTCCTTTTCCAGTTTCTATGCCAACGCTAGCATGGGAATGCTGCCGGGTAAATGTAAAAACCAGTCAACATGGATTTTAACATTCCTACAATTTTTTAAAAATGGTCTATTTCATATTTGCTGCGATTGAATGCCAGCTTGGGTATTCCCTGCTTCTCCAAGCATAGAAAACAGGATATGTCTACATAGGAAAATCAGATTTCAAAAGTGGACGGCTTCATACATGGCTGTTGGGAAAACAATCCTCATAAGGCTGTTTTGAAACAAGGTTGGAAACGCTTAAAAATAGGGTTGGTTTGGTTTCATGTCGTTTCCTTTGATCGTTTTGTTTCTTTTAATTGTTTTTAATGCTTTAGAGGAGAAATGAAGGCCCCCGATATAACAAATCTTTGTATCTGTGGCCAGCTTAGAGAATTAAAATTAAAAAGTTAGAGAAAGATGGAGGTTGAGTTTGGATTACTTCATAAAAATCAGGTGGGAAGGCCAACTTAAAACTGAGATCAAACCATCAATCAGCCCAGGGTTAATTGCGTAAGGAGAACCGAACTTGGTGTAGCTCAGAGTGTCGACTACCATATACTAGCAGGCTATCAAGGCTGAGCTGAATTAAATGGGCAGTAAAGTCCATAGGACCCCAAATTTGTGAATCAGACCAACCTGCACTGGAGTCCTGAATGACCATCGGGCAAGCTGCTTGAGACTTTTAAGCTTGTTTCCTCACCTGTAAAATAGTTATAAAACATCAATCCAATGGGATACACTTCCATGGGGTTGAAAGAGTATAATACTTGTAAATTGCTTACCATAGTACTTAGAACAAACCAGAAGTCCAGTTAGTATGATCTCTTATTGCATGATATTATTTGGTGTCCTGTGATAGTTTCAGCCAACACTGAGTTTCTTCTGTCCACCAGATTAGATTATATAAACCTTATAATTGGGCTCCTTGTGTCTAATTTCCCACACATTCCTCTTGGCACATAGCATAATGATAGGCATAATTAATGATCAACAGGAATATATCATATGGAACACAGTCTGGAGACAGGTCACAAGAAAAAGACAGCACAGACACATTTAATTTGCATGAATCAGTGCAATGTACTCACCAAACAGCTGTAGGGATAAATACTTGGCCCGGGGCGGGTGATTCAGCCCACCACTCTAACTCAGGGGACATGGAACTGACCGAGGTGAACTGGGAGACACAAACCTGTCTCACTGCATGACCCAGGGAACCGGCTGATGAAGGCTCCACCTCAACATGTGCTTCATGAATAGAATGGTTCCACTGTGTCCCTGCCGAAAGCTGTGTTCACATTCCCACCCTCCGTACCTGTCAGTGTGGCCTTGTTTCTAAGTAGGGTCTTTGCAGAGGTAATCAGTTTAAGATGAGGCCATCCTGGACTAGGGTGGGCTCCAAATCTAGTGAATGGTATCCTTATAAGAGAATGGAGAGGGAGATCTTGACACAGAGACACCGAGGAGACACGCAGGAAGACAGCCATGTGAAGACAGGCAGAGATTGCAGTGATGATGCATCTACAAGGCAAGGAATGCCACGGGTTGCCCCCAGCCCCCCAAACCTGGAAGAGTCAAAAGAAAGACTCCTCCCTAGAGACTTCCGAGGAAGCATGGCCTTGTTGACATCTTGATGTTGGACTGTTAGCCTCCCCAACTGTGACAGAATAGGTTTTTGTTGTTTTAAGCCACTGAGTTGTGATACATTCTTCTGGCAGCCACTGGAAACTAATACAGGTGGGTGGAACTGGAGGGTTGCCTGCCAGCTTTCAAATGCCTCTGCTTCAAATTGACACCTATCACTTTTCCTCACATTGAAATAGCCAAAGCAAGTCACATGACAGCCTGTCTTCAAAGGGATGGACAATGTAAATCTGAGGGGAACCAGAAATCTGGTGAGCAAGGCCATCTGTTATAGGAAAGGGATCTGCCGTGGCTTGGATTCCTGAATGAGCATATTGAACTCTGGATGATTATAAATGATAATGTGTTATTTCCTTTGTGTTTTTTTTCCTAGTTCAGTATTCCTTATGCTATAATTATACAAAGACTCTGCAAGAGCGTAAATGTATAAGCTGATATTTTCTTTGAGGTGGGTAATAAGCCATCATTCATTCATTCAACAGACATTTACTAAATACTTACTATATGCCAGATATTGTGTGAGGCACTGGAGGTATAATGGCGAGCAAAACAGATGTGAATCCAGCCCCCTGGGAGCGTACAGTCTAGTGGGAAGGCCATGAATCAAATAATCATACAATTACGTAATTACAGGAAACAAATGTAGTGCATTAGGACATGGCATAGGGAGAGACCTGAAGATTTCCTTAAAGTAGCAAAGCTTAAGCTGAGCTCTGAAGCTTGAACAGGATTTAACTGGGATGAAGAGGGGGAACAGCATGAGTGGAGGGTGGCTGGGCACTCCAGGCAGGGGAATCAGCTTATGTTGGAGACTGGAAAGACCATCCGTGTTCAAGGAGCTGAAGAGAGATCAGAGTGGCTGGAAGAATGAGCTAAAGAGAAATCTAGTACAAATATGAGGCAATAGAGGTGGTAGGGATCCAATGGAGGGTCGCTTTGAGGAATTCCATCTTTACATGGCCAGGGAGATGAACCAGGCATGATGAGAAGAGCTTCTGTAAAGAAGACTCACTGCAGTGTGATGCAACATGTCCAGAGCCAAACTCCTTCTGGCCCCCACCCAAACCTCTTTTGCTGAAGGCAACTCCATCCTTCTGAGAATGACCTTGGAGACATCCGTGACTGTCTCTTCCTCTCACACCTCATGTTCAATCTACCTAGAATCTTGTTGACCTTTCCTTCAAAATATTTCTAGAATCTGACCACTTTGCCCTCTCTTATGGCCACATTTCTTGTTCTGAGCCACCACCATCTCCAGCCTGGATTGCTGCCATCAGCTCCTGCCTGGTGCCCTGGTTTCACTCCTGCCTTCTACATCCTATCATCACCCCAGCTGCCTAAGCTCTTTTACAATATAAGTCAGGGCGTGCCTGGATGTCTCAGTCATAAATGGATAAATCTTAAATATATCTCAGCTATATAATATAAATATATATAATATGTTTATCTATCTAATCTATCTATATCTCAGAACTTTTGCTCAAAACCATGCAGTGGTTTCCCATTTCCCTTGCAGAAACTTGAGATCTTCAGCTTCATCCACTGTGACTACCACTTGTCTTACTGCTGGCTCAGTTGTCTTGGCCTCCTGGAACACAC